CAGAGACTTATATTACATATTGTAAAAAGGGGCATAATATGTCTCCTTTAATTTAATGGTTTAATTAAATTTTAATGATCAAAAATTGAATTCATACATCTTTAAACATTTATATATTTGTTTTATTGTTTGTTTGTTTGTTTACTTACAATAGTACATTTACGCATTTAGAAGACGCTTAAGCGACTTGCAGTGCATTCAGGCTATACATTTTTTTTACCAGTATGTGTGTTCCCTGGGAATTGAACCCACGACCTTTTGCGCTGCTAACGCAATGCTCTACCACTGAGCCACAAGATTTATGATTTAATTTTAAACGTATTATCATAAATGGTTGTGGTGAAATAAAGGCAAAAACCAGCAACAATTTAATTAATGTTTTGAAATGCAATTAAATTCATAAATATCCGGGGGGTTTTTTGCGCTTTACATTTAAAAATCACATCACCGTTATTGAAAAAAATTATATCGCGATACATATTGATATTGAATTATTGTCCAGCCCTAATTCAGACACTATTCCATATCACAATATGAATAATCTTTGACATTCTGCATTATACAGTAACCTCTATTTCTGTGACTGTATTCCACGATTCCATACAATTCTAATGTTTTCTGCATCATGGAAATAATAGAGCCTTAGATTTACTTCAGGCACTAAAGAATTATTATTAGTATGCCTGAGGGGGTCAAGGTTTTCACTGGACGTCATGTAAGGTCTGGTACATTGCAGTTTATTCTGTTGGAGAACCGCCCACCTAGACAGGAAGAGCCGCCTGTCTGACATGTAAAGCTAGTATTGTTCCTGCGTGGAGTTGAGATCAATAGGAATGCTAGCGGCTGGCTTTCTCCAGGTATTAGACACACACACTAGTCAAGCGGAGGCCTGCACTCAGGCTGTGTGCAGCTGTTTGTGAGCATTAGTCATTTGTTGTGGGCATTGTAAAGGAAAATGAAGAACGATCATATCAGTTCTCTCCCCTTTATTACTCATGTTTGCAATTTTACCTTTAGTAGAAAATAATAATCTTTAGTTTTAGGGCTGATATTTTTTAGTTATTACCACCATAGACAGGTGGTTTTCGGAATATTTTTTTGCTAGTGCTGGGCGATAAAACAATAACGATAAAACTGGGCGATAAAACAATAAAAAGTGTTCAGTATAATGTTTATGCACCAAAAGCGGAAGGAATCAGCTCTACTCATTTGAACTGCACCACACGGAGCATTTATCCACTCGGGTCAAAGTTCAGACGGCATGCGTTTACTCGCTGATAAGTGTCGGTCACGCAACACTAAACAGCGCTGTGAGATCCAGTGTGAAGCGCTTGAATTCAGCGAAGAACAAAACTAGTTTAAAGGCAGATGAAACAGTGCTGACAAACAGCAGAAACACTGTGCACAGCGATACAGTCAGAAGGCTTTTCAATCTACAAATCACCATCATTTACCATGGATTTACTGTAGTAACTCTAACAGCACCATGGTATTGTGGGAGAAATGTGGGATATTCATATCAAATTGTATTATATTTGTAATGTAGACATGTAATAAATGTGTTAAAGGAGTCATAGTATATGATTACAGTATTTTTTGTGATTGTGCATTTATACTAAATTTATTTAGATTACTGTTTTTCATACAAATACCTAGAAACCATATAGTTACATATTACCATGGCTATATGTGTGGTTTTAACTGTGGTTATCACGCTCTGTGGGATATTCATATCAAATTGTATTATATTTGTAATGTAGACATGTAATAAATGTGTTAAAGGAGTCATAGTATATGATTACAGTATTTTTTGTGATTAAGCTAAGCTTTTGTGCATTTATACTAAATTTATTTAGATTACTGTTTTTCATACAAATACCTAGAAACCATATCTTTACCATGGCTATATGTGTGGTTTTAACTGTGGTTATCACGCTCTGTATGCTATATGGAAGACCAATGGTTAATTTGAATAAAACTCAAACAGTCAGAATAATTAAATTTCACTATATAAACATGAGGCTGTTACAATTTGTCCAGATGTTACTGTTTTTGATCATGAACATAAATTTGCATCTGCATCCTAACTCAAGCTACTACTACTGTCAACTCAAGGGCGAACGTAGTTCCAGGCAGCTCTCTTGACCGCGTTACAGTTCCATATCACTTTGCATAGTTAACTGTAATAACGGAAATTAGCATACAGTACCTATACAGCACACAGGATTTTCTGCAATCACACGTGCGCGCACGCACACTACGGTCGCGCAGTTTGCACAAAAAGGTGTTGTCAGCACTGCCCTGACGATTTGATCCCGTCCGCGTTTTCGCAGAAACCATATGGCGCTAGAAATGTAACCACGCTTCAGAACATTTCGGCTTGCCCTGTGTGTTGTTTGAACGAGTTGCAGGGGTGACCTCACGTCACAGCGTCTCTCTTTCTCTCTCTGTAGCGTATGCGCCCAGATGCGTTCTCAGGTACCGAAATTTGGCACCGATTGATTTAACGTGAATATAATACTACCGAGGTGCTCGGTAGTACCGACGCAATTCGGTCAGTACCCTTAAAAGTACCAAGTTCGGTACCCAACCCTAAATATCACTCATTAGAACATGCAGAAACTAAGAAATTAATTTTTCTATTAAGATATTTATTTTAAGGAAAAATTACTAGAAAATTGTAAAGAATTCAAACACGTGAAGTGTTTGTTATGTTATGAGTAGTTTAAAACCACAATTAATGGTCTGTTTTCCACAGCTTTCACTGATCTTCAAAAATCTGCCATTTAGCTTTAAAAATAAATATTTTAAATTCATCGTGATAATTCGTGATATATCAACTGATATGAAAAATTTGATCATGATATTTTTTTGGCCATATCACCCAGCCCTAATTCCTATACTAGAATAGAGTCTAATTTCAGACTTATAAAACAGGGAGAATCACACAGAACCCATGTCCACGTCTATTCAAGGGTATACTTTGTTTTGTGAATTTTCAGGAATGGATGCTGTGGAAAAGCAATAGATTAAAGCGTATGTCTGAGGTTTGTGTGTGTGTGTGTGTGTGTGTGTTGGAGATGTTTCCTCTATGTCTAGTCTAACATCTCCATCACAAACCACTGCTTTGGCCTCAAACCGTATTGCTTAAATGTAATTGGCACGAGCAAAAAGGACATCAAAGACTGACATTTATGAATATGACCAGCTATAAGCAGCATCTCCAGCCATGACACATTTGTCATTCATTCTCTCTATTCATTTTACACTGTTATTGAAGATGTTTCAGCGAGTTTTGTTTGTGTATTTATGTTTGCTCTGCAGGGAGCAAGGGTGTGCGTTCACTGTGCAGTGCATGTTTTGTGCGGTCTAATTGACTCTGAATGGTGAATGCATTATTTATGAACTGCGCTGAGTTTTTGCCTCTTAGGTCTTCCAGACAATGTTCAGCCCACGAAAGAGTTCATTTACATCTCAGAAGAGCCCACTAATGATTCAGGGTTTCATTTAAAACGCCATCTTTTTCTGTCTATTCTCTCTTTTCTGAGCTGCAAGGCTCGTGGATAGTAAGGTCTACTGTGAATAATCATTGGTGTCATTTGTTTATTTTGGACTCAGGGGATCTGGTATTAATAACTCAGTTCCACTCTTCAAAAACACTTCAGATGCCATTTTACTGCGGCTCTGCATTTGCATATACTGCATCTGCATTTCACAGTCAGTTTCATAGATTTGTGACGTTTCATCTCTGAGGATGCAAGACAAAACCACAAAGAGTCCTGCAGAATCGGTATATTTGTAGTGTAATTAATAAATGTTCTGTCATGAAATTTTTTGCAAAAACATCTCCAGATAAAATTCAAGACAAACAATAATATTTTAAATAAGAAAATTAACGTTGCCAAAAATGATTTTTTTTGTGTGTGTGTGTAATCCCTGTTATTCGCATACTGTAATGCAGTATGTTTTTTTTCTTTTGCTGTACAGTTAAAATTACTCTAATGCAAAAAATAATATTTAACATCATGATTAAATGTTATGCACTCAAACAAGTGGGACTGTCTGTGTCCTGTGTCTTAATGATGGATTTGTTTCTTACAAACACGCAGCAAAAATAATTCTAATCAGTAAAAAGAGGATACAGTTTACAGTCCGTTTCACCTGAACTGAATCTGATCCACGCCACTTCATACAAGTTTGCTTTCTGTCCAGAAGCCACGCACGGACCGAGAACAACCCAAGACGTTTGCAGGCCCAACAGCAGTGGCGCTGTGACCTGTATGCACAGCATTCACACTGCCTGCCTCATTTCAGCATAACACACGTTCTGGATCATCGAAGCCTTTCTGCAAACAAATATATTCATAGGCAAGGCAGGCTAATGCTGGGGAGCTTTGCCTGTGCATCTCACCCAGAATTTAACCAGATGCATTAGAACATCAAGACTTCACATTGGTTATTTCAGTAGCAAAAAAACTAAAAATCAAAAGGGTTATTCAAGCTAGGAATAAGTAGTATACAGAAAGCGAGCAGAGAACGCGCTCATCACTGAAGCGGCTCATGACTTCAGTCCAGCGCGAGTTCTGCACTCTGACTGAACGATTCTCCCTTTCAAATCTTTGTATCTAAATTCGTTTCGATAGCCAGCCCAGCTGTAGCTTTTTCCATCTCTTTGTATTGCTGCTGTGGGGCTTCAGCTCTCGCTGCTGATCACATGATCCGTTCACAAAGCCCACGCTGCTGCACAACACCAAGCCCAGATACACTCACACACATCACACATTCACCCTGACATAGCGCTAATGTGCAAACCGCTGCTGTTTAGTCAAAACACACAAAGAATCCAGACCTGAAATGTTTAAAACTAAGCAAAAGCTGCTCCAGTACCTGTGTATGAGCTTCATTTATTACAGAGAATGAATCAGTCAGACTCTCATCTGTCCCTCGCTACTGTGACGGAGACAGAATATAGGCCTTTGAACCCTTGAACTGAATGGGACTTTATAAATAATAAATCAAAGCAGATGGAGATACAGAGAGTGGAGCCATTTAGTATTTCATCTTCTAGAACAGAGCAGCGTTTGGTTTGTATCACTGGTTATGCTCGAGACATAGAAACGTTAGTATGTAGGATTCTGTTGTTAATATTTTTGTTGTTAAAGTTTCAAAATGATCTAAATAAGAACAGGTTGGCAGGGCATCAATGGTAGGCTAATTTATTTGTTTGTTTTTTCTTATTGTAATGTGCTTAAAAAAAAAAAGAAAATTAGTTTTATTTATTCAATATTTATTTATTTGTATATCACCAAAAAAAGATTTTTGTTTTTTAGATTTATTCAAGATTTATTTTTTATTTCAACATTTATTTTAAACTTTTTTTTTTTATTTGACATAACGTCTCGGTTACGTATGTAACCCTCGTTCCCTGAAGGAGGGAACGGAGACGTCACGTCGGCTGACCGACGAAATTGGGATCTCGCTTAGAGAGACCAATCCACTTCGAGTGTAAACTAAACGAGCCAATGCACATTGGCATGCGATTATTGCATCCAGCTGCTGCTGATCACAGCGTGAGTATAAGTAGGCAGCAGATGCAACGCATATTCAGGTTTTCGCTGAGGAGCCGAGCCGGTGACCCGGCCGCTCAGCGGTGGTACAGGAGCTGTGGCGACGGGACGTCTCCATTCCCTCCTTCAGGGAACGAGGGTTACATACGTAACCGAGACGTTCCCTTTCAGTCGGTCACTCCCGACGTCCTCTCTAAGCGAGATCCCAATTTCGTCGGTCAGCCGACGTGACGTCGGGAGTGACCGACTGAAAGGGAACAATATATATTAGACCTCGTCATAATTTTAAAATGCCTCAGATACTAAATGTAATTAACTTTTACTTGTGAAGTGCTTTTCGCAATACATATCGTTTCAAAGCAGCTTTACACAAGTCCAGTATTTCTACATTACAAATGAAAAATCTGTTATCAGAGATGCCTGTGACATTAAAGCAAAGCTTGCATGATGTAATCGTGATCATTACAATATAAGGTTCATTTGGCGGGTTTGTACGTTGATGCAGAGTTGGCGTCGTCTCTTCACAGGTGTTGCGCTCATCTGAAATCTTCCTAATGGTTTACTGGGTTTGAATGTCTCCCAAATTACAGTGTTTTTGATCCCTAAAATATGATGCTTCTTTATTATTATATATTATATAATACATTGCTGTGTTTGACTTTAATCTAATATCTGTATGAGAGAGGTCATGTGTAGTACATTTAAGAAAGGTTCATGAAATCTGCATGTTTATGTTCTTCTTTTGTAGGGAAATGAGGCAAGTTATCCCCTGGAAATGTGCTCGCATTGTAAGTATCATTACATTTCTACCTAATTTGCAAATGATTTTCTAAAAAAGCTGATCAAACCTAGATGGTGACTGAAGCGTGATCACTCTTAACTGAATTGCTAGCTGTGAAACAGATATGAATCAAGCTAAATATGGTGAAGTAAAGCTTGTCTCCAGAGATTCTGAGGCTTATTTTTAGCCCTGAAACTTTTTAATTGGTTTTGCTTCCCTCTGATGTGTGCGAATGTTTGACGCATGCGAAACAAGCGAGAGATCAGGAGCGTCTGCGGTAGGCCAGGCCAGAGTTAGTTCATATTTGTCAAACCTGCTAGGACAGGGATTCTGAGTGATGTGCTGCAAACACCAGCACATAAGTGTGTGTGTGTGTGTGTGTGTGTGTGTGTGTGTGTGTGTGAGACAGCCTGACCTGCAACAGCTTTGGCGACTTCAGCGATCTGGCATATATGCAGCTCTCTCTCACACATACACGGGACAGCTGTTCACTACATCAACAAACACACGTCTGCTTATGGGTCTGTAAATCTACAGAGCTTCTCACAAACATGTGTCCAATTCACTGTAAAACAAAAAGAAAAAAAATTAGGAAAATGTATTTTCCATAAAGACTTTTTTTGCATTGTGATTTTATGTATGATGTTATAGTCCAGCCAGATTATAGCAGAGCTGTTATAATTACTCCTCATTCTTTGTACTAGTAATGTACTAGTCATTCTTTTTAATGCAATACAAATGAATGAGGATGCAAAAGCGCCATGAAAGTGTCATCAAAGACTCGAATGCTCAAACATCAGACTGAAATTCATGTTGTTATTCACTGATAATTGTGAATTGTCTGAACTTGAGAATCATTGCAACTGAATCATTGATCATCCCAAAGTAAACAAATCATTCAGACTGGTTCAGGGATTAAAGTTCTCCGTTGCTACGACAGATTTCCGTTAATTGCAGCGAGTCTACGACGGATTTCCGTCAATTTTGAAAAAATGAGGGGAAAAGAAACATTTAGCGCATTGTTGTTGTTGTACCAAAAATCATCCCCGCCACGGCTGCAGCTTGACAACATAGTGACGCCGCTCGCATCATTCACAGTCGGGTTATTAGCAGAGAACACAGAGCAGGTCTTGAATTTCAGGTGCGGGATTGCAGCTATTAATAATAATTCTACTCATTCCCGCAGGTTTTCGCGCTTATAACATGATGACAGATGACGGAACGTATCATTTGCATGTACTTTTGAGTCTTGAGAACTCTCATTTTCTGTGCGCCCACAGATCGCGCGATAAGGAGAGTGACAGATTTTAATCATTATTAAAGGACATCATGACGCCGCTCGCATCATTCACAGTCGGGTTATTAGCAGAGAACACAGAGCAGGTCTTGAATTTCAGGTGCGGGATTGCAGCTATTAATAATAATTCTACTCATTCCCGCAGGTTTTCGCGCTTATAACATGATGACAGATGACGGAACGTATCATTTGCATGTACTTTTGAGTCTTGAGAACTCTCATTTTCTGTGCGCCCACAGATGGCGAGATAAGGAG